CTTGTTTGTTGCTATGGAAAAGCACGTTTGTTTTTGATGTTTAAATAAAGACAGCTGGAGCTATTCCTGGCTGACCATTGGTGGGAAACTCATCTTGTGGTCAGATAATTCATGTCTTCACGCCGATGCTCCTTCCCTGTCTCAGGAACTGAACCCAGGCTGCAGCTGGGTGCTCTCCTGGGATCTCACATAAACCGGTAACTGGAGGAAAGCCTGGGTGTGTCATGCACTGGAGCAGCAGGGGGGGGGTGGGGGGGGGGGGGGTGACATACTCACAGCCAACCATGCCAAATTCCTAGTGGTTCATTAGCAATCCCTCCAGAGGAGGATGGACCAGATGCATCCTCACCTCCACACTTGAAGCATTCACACGGAAAAGACTCACCTCTGGCAACTGACTTGAAGGGGCACGGACCTATGAGGCCCTAGGGACTCAAGCCCAGGGAGACACCCTAAGAAAGCCACCCCATCATGCGCTGGTGTCAGTGGGTTCTATTCTAGTTTTGGGTTTAGGGTGCAGCAGTGTTCTAAGAGTTCCTTCTGGACCTTTCTTGTTTATTTTATTTTACTCATTTATTTGGAGAGTTTTTGAGGCAGTCCCAGGCAGTCCTCCTGCCTCTGCCTCCCTAGTACTCCTAGTGATTAAAGGCTTGAGCTATTCCAAGATTTTCTTCTAGTTTTAGGAATACCGAGAATTTCACTAACCCTGAAGGATTTCACCAAGCCTTAAACCCTTCTAACTTGTGTGTCCTCCTTGAACTTTAGCAGGGGGTGCATTTCAAATTCTAGTATCTGGTATTTCAGTGTTCATCCGATACTCAAGATTGAGTAAGAAAGCGGGCTGAGCAGACACAGACTGCTCTTGTTAAACACTGCAGTTCCTGCGACCCTGGGCAAGCAGAAAACAAGAGGTGGTACCTCATAGTGGTGGCTCTGGGATTCCACGAATGAAGAAAACACTGTGTTTCAGAACGGAGCTTAGCACAGTCCAAAGCTAGGGAGGTATTACCCATCAGGCCTTAAACTTCTGACCCGGAATTATGAGAACCAGATGGAAGGACAATTGCTCCATCTCCTGCCCTGTAGCCCCTCTCCCTTGGTACCACCACCTGCTGGTAACTCTGCCTCTGGACCGTTAGCCAGCCTGTGAAGCAGCTGCTGACCTCGCCCTCCTCGTGGAGCGAGGTTTGACACGTGAGTACTTGACTTGCTTCTCCAATCTGGTGGATCAGGTTTCGGTTTTGTTGTTTCACCTAGTTGAGGTTGAAGTTGAGGCATAAATGTGCCAGATTTTGTGGTGTGACCAGGGAAGAACAATACGTTCAAAGAGGACAAGTAGCTTAACAGATACACAAACATTTCCTGACAGGAAAAGCTTTTCTCTATTACATTTTCTTTTCTTAATAGACGTAATTGCAAGTAATTGATTAGTATTTTATATCTGTTCTGTTAGTTTAGATGATAAACAACAACCCCAATACCAAATGACCTACACAGTGGTAACGACTTGCTCTCTAACTTTCTAAGCACTTTCACTGATAGTAACACGTTAACATTTATCACAGTTTTATGACTTGTTTTGTTTTGTTGGAGACAGCTGTCCTGGAACTCAGCTCTGTAGACCAGGCTGGCCTTGAACACAGAGACCCACCTGGCTCTGCCCCCCGAGTGCTGGCAGGAAAGGCGCAAAGCTACACAGAGAAACCCTGTCTCGAAAAACCAAAAAAAAAAAAAAAAAAAAAAGTGTACACCACCACTGCCCAGCTAATTTTATGATTCTTTAAGATAAGGTTTCACGTGTAGGCAGACTGGCCTCACGCTCATGGCAATCCTCCTGCCTCAGCTTTCCAATTATTGGGATTATAGGTATGAGCCACCACTCCCAGCTTGAATTTTTTTTCTTTAGAAAACTGATTATTAATTGCAAAGGTTTAACTAGTTGAAAATACCTGTTCACCTTAATTGTAGTGATTCGATTTTGGATTAACTTTGGATTGCTTCAGTAACTCAACAATTTCGGGATGGGTCTGTTTTGTTGTTTTAGTGTTTTGTTGCTGTTTTCTTTTCTTGTTTACTTGGACACTGAAATAACCAATGACCAAGATGATGAACACAAATATATTCCCCGCCCTGCACCTAGAGAGAGAATGGTCTCTCAAATGTCAGTGAGATCCTTTAGTTAACCGCCTAAGTTCCCAGCCGGACCAGTCTTGCCTTAGATACATCCATCACCTTGCTCACCACTTTTCAGCCAAGTTCATACTGATCCACCACAGGGTGATCAATGCCAAATCCAGGGAACAGAAAGTGGGAGGGGTGACGGTGGGGAGAAATGAATGAAAAGGAAGCAAAGAGCCCAGTTAATAGAGACCCAGAAACAGGGAATTGGAAGAAGCTCTGTATGAAAGGCTGAAAATTTCCTTCCCTTGAATGCAAACTCAGCCAGGACTGAATGGAGCCAAGCCAAGACCACTGCCTTGCCTGTCCAGTCCTGTGTGCCAGGCACTGGTTCAGCCCATCGAATATGTGCCAAATAAGCTCACTTCTCTTTTTGTTGTGGTTTTGAAATCTTCTTTATGATATCTGACTCAGACAATTTTGGAGATTTAGCTGGAGGAAGGCTATTAAAACACTCATACAAAAGGTTTCTGGGAATCCTTCACGGGAGAAGAAATTATAAAGAGCAATTTCTTGCAGGATGAGGTGGCCGAGTGGTTAAGGCGATGGACTGCTAATCCATTGTGCTCTGCACGCGTGGGTTCGAATCCCATCCTCATCGACTGTCAGATGGTTTTGCATCAGTCCTAACTGCCAAGTGTTTGAGAGTTTTGTTTTCACTTTGGAGTTTAAATTTGTTTTGAATTTTAGAGGGAATCTTAGATAATGGATATTCTCTTTTGATAAGTTAATTCTTTGTTCATCAAAAGTTATTCCCTCCAATCTTTCCATGCTCTGGTATCACACTTGATCTTTATCCCTGCTGTCAACTCAATTTTATCAGGCAACTTATTTGATTGATGCCTCACAGCCCCATCAAATTTTTATTTCCCACTAAGAATCAAATGAATTGAAGGCCATAGGAATGCTGCAAGCCGCAGAAATATACTAAGTAGGATTTCAGCTGATTATGACAAGCTATTTACCTGGAAGAAGCCAAGGGCCTTGGTGGTATTGGCTTTTGATTATCAGCCATTTCCTGCTATGAGTTTCTTGTGTGCTATTGTAGATTTTTCCTCATTTTGGGGGCACCATTTCCCCTCTACTAATGGAATATTTAGATAACCTATACTGACAGCTATGCACAGCCAGAACCTCAGTTCAAGCCTCCCTGTAATTATCATCATTGGCAGCATCCGGCCAGGTCCATCCCCAGACGGAGGAAAGTACCTTATCAGAGATACCTCTGTACTCTCTGAAAACAGACTTAAGCATCCAGGCTACCTGTTTGAGAAGGCCTGGCGGATGTGCCAATTAAGCTTAACTTCCTCCTTTCCTAAATCTTACCTCTAGTTCCAGATCTCCCTTCAACTATCACCAGAGGCATCTAGCTGTGCACAGGTTGCCTAGCGACCGAGCACACTTTCCCCCACCCTGCAGAAAAAACGGCAGATAGCTTGGACAGATAGAAGCCACAGGAAAAAAAGAAGGCAGTTTTATTTTCTCCCATTGACCTAGCAACTTACAGATTCTTAACATTTTCTACCAGTCACATATAGTGGAGCATATAAGATCCCTCTTCTTAGATATTACCCAAATTTAGCCTTTAGTTAATTCATTTCCCTGTTACTCACTTCCCTTTTGGGTTGCAAATGATAATTAACGATTACTACCCCTCTATGTGATTATCACCCCTCCGTTTGACCCTGGAAGCCTGGTGGTCACTGCCTGAGGAAAATTCTTACCTGTCTTTATGACCCTGTAGAATTCAAGCCTGGTGACCTTGCTCGACCAGGGGATTGCTATTGCTTGGGTTTATAACTAGATTCCTGGGAGACTTAGGAGGAACATGGAGAACTGAGAGATGGAGAACGGAGAGGGATAAGGAGAGTACTTGTGGACGAGATGGAAAATGAGGAAGAGTCAGATGGGGAAGTACTAGCTGGGTAAGAACAAGATGAAAAGGACCTAGATGAGGCAGAATTAAGAGTAGATAAATAAGCCGGGCGGTGGTGGTGCACGCCTTTAATCCCAGCACTCGGGAGGCAGAGCCAGGCGGATCTCTGTGAGTTCGAGGCCAGCCTGGGCTACCAAGTGAGTTCCAGGAAAGGCGCAAAGCTACACAGAGAAACCCTGTCTCGAAAAACAAACAAACAAAAAAAAAAGAGTAGATAAATATAGAGAGAAATCAGGCAAGAAAGGAGCTAGGCATGAGAACAGAACTGAAGCTGTGTATATAAGATGTTATCCCAGAGGAATTAAAGCAAGTGGACTATAGAGCTCGGTGTGCTGAGATTCTGTTTCCAGAAAATAGTCCTCGCCATTAGTAGTTCTCTCTCCTGAGCCCCTGGGATGTATAATATTAAGGCTGGTCCCTCTAATATTATACAAGAAGGAAAATACTACATAACAATCTAAATGAGCTGAAAATTCATCTATGGAGTTATACTCATGAAAATGTGTGTCTCGGCTGTTCATGATGAAAAAACCTTTAATGCAAAGGAACTAGGACCAGGGAGATTGCCACAAGTTCAAGGCCAGCCTAGGGCTACCTAGTGACTTCCAGCCTCAGAAACATAGAGCCCTGAGTATTTGGGAAGAGATTCAAGTCATTACACCTGGCTCTTTGCAAACATTTAAGGCTACCGTCATTGTACATAGACCCTGCCTTTGACAAGAACACTTGTGTTTCTCTTAGAAATGTCACAAACAGAAAAGCTCATTCTATATAATCTTGATACTGAAGATTTCTTCCTAAGAAAAATTAAAGAATATCAGCACTGCATAGTTTCTACTTGTGATTTACTCTTGGCTGATCTTCAAAAGAGAAAATGACTAGCACGTTTCCTCACATTTTTATTTTATTATTTCTATTTTGGCAAGTACTGCATTCACACAATTCAGAAAATACAAAAATATACACAGCAAAAATTCTCATCCATTACCCTTCACACCAGACACTGTTACTAGATTTTGTATATTTTTCTTAAAATAAAGTGAGCAAATGATAGAAAATTAAGATCTCAGGCATATATTATTTTTGTTTTGTTTCTTTTTAGTTTGGGTTTGTGGTTTTGAGGTCAAACAAAGATAAATTGTTAAGTGGGAAAAAAGGGCATGATACAATGTATATGTATGTATGAGTGCTATTTGCAAAAAGTGGTAAATATATCTCTCCTAGTTAGCTTCAGCTGTCAAGTTGATCCAGTTATCTGAGGAAATAGCATTCAGGGATTGCCTCCATCAGATTGGTCTTGGGTGTCGGGTGTTCTGTGTTGCTTGAGTTGGTGGAAGAAAGATGAATTTTTTCCACTTGTGCGGCAGCAGGAAGGTCCAGCTTCTGGTGAACTGAACCTCCAGCAGCCGTTCAACGGCATTATTTATTGACTGTTACACAAAGTTGGCTTTGGGGCAAACAAGTTCTTAATACCAAAGTCCCTGGTCTAATCTATATTGTTTTTCTGAAGGAAAGCACACCCCCACCTACAGTTTGTAACCAAAAAAAAAAAAAAAGAGTATTTATTTTGGGCTACACGCTGCTTGGATAAAAGCATAGAGACCCACGATAGCTCCCAGAGCTGGTGGTAAACTACCGCCGCCATGTTGGGAAGCTGAGGTGGGCGGAGCCAGCAGCCACAGCTGCTGCAGTTTAAGGCAATAGATTCACAATAAGACAGATTCAGATGTAATAGTTTACAATGTGTGTAAAAGATACATAGGCTTGAAAGAGACAAAAAAGATGATATATAGAGTTATAGAAACAAATACATAGTTTTAAAAACTAAAGTCTTTAAAGAGACAGTAAAGGTAGTATAAAAAATAAGCCACGTAAAAATGGATATTACACAGAGAATCTGGATTGTGTTGTCTTTGGGATTTTTAACTGCAAAAAAACATTTGATTGTAAAAGCTGTTGAGTTATGCCAAAATGTATATTTTAAAGGTACCTTGACTTTAAAATTTGGATGTAAGGATATGTTGCTTTGGAAAGGAGATTCTGCTTTTGTTCCCACAGAAAGCCAGAGGCTATGGATTTGTTCCAGATTAAGATACATCAGGTTTGACCAGCCAAGACCACCTGAAAGGTCTCCGATGACACCATGGCCCAGATGATCCAACATCCAGAACCGTTTCAAGGCAACTGGCTCAGACGATACACCCTCATGGACTACTCTATAACCCTAAAATATTCTTTGTGTCCCCATAAGATACAGCGCCCCCCTCCAGCAGGAAGTAGTAAGAGAAGCTACACCCAAATTCTCAAATATACCAAGCTGACTTTGGAGATATGTAAAGGTTAAAACCTTCCTTTTTAAGAAAAGAAAAGGGGAAGTGCTGTGGGATGGTCTGTATGTCAAATGTGTTGCTGATTGGTCAATGAATAAATCACTGATTGGTCAGTGGCCAGGCAGGAAGTATAGGCGGGACTAACAGAGAGGAGAATTGAGAGAACAGGAAGCTGGGTGAGGGAGACACTGCCAGCCGCCATCAGGACAAGGAAGATGTAAAGTACCAGTAAGCCACAAGCCATGTGGCAAGGTACAGATTAATAGAAATGGATTAATTTAAGCTGTAAGAACAGTTAGCAAGAAGCCTGCCACGGCCATACAGTTTGTAACCAATATAAGTCTCTGTGTTTACTTGGTCGGGTCTGAGTGGCTGTGGGACTGGCAGGTGAGAGAGTTTGTCCTGACTGTGGGCCAGGCAGGAAAACATTAGCAATACCCACCACTTCAGTCTTACTGCATACCATTTACAGTACCCAATAGTCCAAGAGCTCCAGGTGTGCCAGGCCGGTCTTGTGGCCAGTCATGCAAAGGCTGTAAAGTTCCCTCAGAAAAACAGTTCTACAAATCACAGAAAACAATCACTGTTTTCCACAATGATTCCTTCAAGGTCTAAGTACTTCTAGAAAACAACCGTGCCTTCTAATGTTCACCCTAGGTATAGTGACTCTGATAGAGTCCTACAACACTCGGGCATGCCTGGCAGCAGTTTCTTGATTGCCAATTGATGCAGGATGGTCACCCCACCGTGGGCAGTACCAATCCTAGGCAGGTGGGCCTGGACTTTAAGAAGGGCAGAACTAGGGAGCCAATAAGTAGCATTCCTTTGTGGTTTCTGCTTCCAGTTCCTGCCCTGACTTCCCTCAATGTTGGGTTGTGACTGAAAGTATAAGCCAAATAAACCCTTTCCACCCCATGGTGTTTCTTACAGCAACAGAGATCAAGCTGGAAGAATGTCTATATATAATTTTGGGTCCACCATGCTGTGTGTATTCAATATCTAAGAGGGCATTTCTGCACTTTGGTCTATTTATACATAGGATGTTGTCACATTTTCTCCCAAAGGGTTTTTGTAGACATGCACTCTCAGTCAACAAAGCAGAAAGGAGAGCTGATGATAATTGATTATGCAGCCTTTATAGGGGGAAAGGGTTTGAGCGGCTTGGGACTGGCGGGTGAGAGAGATTTGCCCTGACTGTGGGCCAGGCAGGAAAACTCTAGCAACAAATGGCGTCCAACGTGGTGGCAAGAGTTTCCACCTAAAAACTGAGAAAAGATTCTAAAACGGTGCTAAAAACAGTTCCTAATTGTCTCTCTCAAATGAGCGGCAGCTGCCGGTTTGAGCTACTGGTGGGTTCCTAGTGTGCATGCTTGACCTGCGGTATGGCGGGAATGAGGCCTCTGCAAGTGGCACATTAAGCTGCTTGGTGGATTTAGCCTTTGCTAGTACAAAACAAAAAAAGAGGTTTCTGGGCTACACGCTGCTTGGATAAAAGCATAGACCCACCATAGCTCCTAGAGCTGGCGGTAAGCCTACCGCCGCCATGTTGGGAAGCTGAGGTGGGCGGAGCCAGCAGCCACAGCTGCTGCAGTTTAAGGCAATAGATTCACAATAAGACAGATTCAGATGTAATAGTTTAAAATGTGTGTAAAATATACATAGGCTTGAAAGAGATTAAAAAGGTAATATATACAGTTACAGAAACAAATACATGGTTTTAAAAAATAAAGTCTTTAAAGAGACAGTAAAATTAATATAAAACATAAGCCACGTAGAGATGACTATTACACAGAGAGTCTGGATTGTGTTGTCTTTGGGATTCTTAACTACAGAGAGATATTTGATTGTAAAGGAAGCTGAGTTAAACCAGTATGTATATTTTAAAGATACTTTGACTTCAAAATTTGGATGTAAGGATATGTTGCTTTGGAAAAGAGTCTCTTTTGTTTCCACAGAAAGCAAGAGGCTATGGATTTGTTCCAGAGTAAGATACATCAGGTTTGACCAGCCAAGACCACCTGAAAGGTCTCCGATGACACCATGGCCCAGATGATCCAACATCCAGAACCGTTTCAAGGCAACTGGCTCAGATGATACAGCCTCACGGACTACTCCATGATCCTAAAATTTTCTTTGTTTCCCCAGAAGATACAGCGCCCCCCTCTAGCAGGAAGTAGTAAGAAAAGCTACGCCCAAATTCCCAAATATACCAAGCTGACTTTGGAGATGTGTAAAGGTTAAAACCTTCCTTTTTAAGAAAAGAAAGGGGGAAGTGCTGTGGGATGGTCTGTATGTCAAATGTGTTGCTGATTGGTCAATGAATAAATCACTGATTGGCAGTGGCCAGGCAGGAAGTATAGGCGGGACTAACAGAGAGGAGAATTGAGAGAACAGGAAGCTGGGTGGGAGAGACACTGCCAGCCGCCATCAGGATAAGGAAGATGTAAAGTACCAGTAAGCCACAAGCCATGTGGCAAGGTATAGATTAATAGAAATGGATTAATTTAAGCTGTAAGAACAGTTAGCAAGAAGCCTGCCACGGCCATACAGTTTGTAACCAATATAAGTCTCTGTGTTTACTTGATCGGGTTTGAGCGGCTTGGGACTGGCGGGTGAGAGAGATTTGCCCTGACTGTGGGCCAGGCAGGAAAACTCTAGCAACAAGGGGATGCTGAGGGGCAGCAGGAAGAACATGGAGAATTTCGTAGTCTTAGGCAAGGTAGTACACTCTCTTTGTGTGGATCTAACAGCTGACTAAGCAGTGGGTGGACTGGTTTCTCAAAAGCAACAAGTGAGCAAATGAACACCTCAAGGATTTGGAAGATATATAATCATATATCTCCATATATATATGTATGTATTTTTAGATAATTACCTAAACTCTAATAAGGAAACACACGGAGTGGGTAAGAATATATGACATCTTTTTGTGTTTCTTTGGTTTTCGAGACAAGCTCTCATGTATCCATCCCAGGCTGACTTCAAACTTACCATGAAGCTGAGCTCCTCCCTCCATCTCATAAACACTGGGAATATGGTCCTGTACTACCACACCTGACTTCTCTGTGTTCAACGCTTAATCGAGAAAGAAGACAGAAACTTGCTGTGTTCAAACTCCAGCATCTTGGATTGATTGACTGGTGTTGTAAACAGGGAATAATCACTAACCCCAGAAACCATGAAAAAAGTATGAGTAGACACAAACGCAAAAAACATGTTTCTATAGTCAATGTGCCAGTTAGTTTTATTGGTCAACTTGATACTAAAATCACTCCAGGACACTCAAGGAAAGATTGTCTAGATTAGGTTGGCCTGTGGGCTTATTACAAGGGATAATCTCGATCATGTTAATCAAGGTGGGAAGATTCACCCTTTGTGAGTGGCACCATCCTCTAGGAAGGGAATTCTGAAATGTGTAAGCGTGGGGAACTCCAGCTGGTTCTTTGCTCTCTGCTCCTGACAGTGGATGTGGTATGACTGGCTACTTCAAGTTCCTGCCACCCGGACCGCTCCACCAGGATGGACTGTGCCCGGGAACCGAAAGTCCAACCCGGACCGCTCCACAAGGATGGACTGTGCCCGGGAACCGAAAGTCCAACAAACCCTTCCTGCCCTAAGCTGCTTTTGTCAGAGTATTTCTCACAGAGACATAACGCTCACAAAAAGCAAGTCATCTGGAACAAGTTTCTGTGGCAGAAATTATTGAAATGTGCAGACAGTACATAAAGCTGACTGGAAAAAACAAAAACAAAAAAACAAACCTTCCTCAGATGAATCTGCCAAACCTACTTTTGACCATCACAGGAAAAACAAAGGTGAATTGAAGGAGAAAAATAGATATCTAAGTTTCTTAGTGGTTGAAGTCCTCATTATTGATCTCTAAGAAGATGATCACACAAACTAGATTGCAAGAAGAGCAACACCATCACAAAGCTATAAGAAACCTATAAATACAATTAACAAACATACTTCTAACAGAGGTTTTAGATAACAAATTGTTTCATCTCCATTTCTATACCAATATGCATTTCCAGAATATTCACATAACACTTCTTGCTTGTATAAGCATATGATCACAACCTTATGAGGTAAGTTATGACTCCTATTTCTTTTATCCAGTAAAGGAAGAGGCAGAGAAAACCTTTCACAGGAATATATGTTCCTTGCCAAGACAATGAAGAAATCTAGCTGGACCTGGTGATATCAATCTACAATTCCAGATACATAGGAGGCTGAGGAAGGTGGATCAATAGTTCATGGCCAACCTGAGATACAAAGTGAGTTCAAGGCCAGCATGGGTCACAGAGTGAATTCAAGGCCTGTCTGGGCAATTTAGTGAGAAGTGAGACCCTGTCCCCAAATAAAAAGCAAAAAGAGGCATGAAGATAGCTCTGTGATAGGACATTTCAGATACTCAAGGTCCTGGGATAAATCCCAGCACCACACACACAAAAAAAAAAAAATTAAAAATGAGAAAAAGAAGAAATTTAGATGGGTCATTCACTGAAAGTTCTTACCATTCTACCGGAGAAGAGGAAAGGTACCACAACCAATTCTTACTCAAATAAGAGACAGGAAAATGAATAAGTTAATTCATGTTGTGGGATAATCTTTCTGTACACTGTGAAGCTATGTCTTGGCTGAGGTGCCTTCTGATTTGTTTAACAAAGAGCTGAATGGCCAATAGCTAGGCAGGAGAGAGTAAGCAGGATTTCTAGGGAGAGAGAGGAAAAGGAAGAAGAATCCAGGCACATGGATTTCACCAGCTGACTTGGAGAAAGTTGAACCATACTGAGGAGAGGTAACCGAGCCACAAGGAAGAACATAGATTAAAAAATAATGGCTAATTAAGTTATAAGAGGCAGTTGGAAATAAGCCAAGCTTTCATAATTAATAACTACAATAATTAATAATAAGTCTCCATGTCATTATTTGGAGGTTGGCAATCCAAAGATAATCTGACAAAAAAATAAATAAATAAAAACATTACAAATCAGGCATTGTGGCACGTGCCTTTAATCCAAGTACTAAGATCTCTGTAAGTTCAACACCAGTCTAGTTTACATAGGGAGTTCCAGGGCCACATGACTCTAAATAAATAAATAAATAAATAAATAATGAACATAAAACAAACATAAATAAATGAGAAAGAAAGGAACAGAAGGAAACGAATAGCGATAGGTTGTCTCATTTCAGTTGGAAAAATGAAACTGAATAGTCAACCAGTCAACACAAAATTCCTAAAAATTATTTAGTAAAACATGCAAAGTAGCATTTTTGTGTGCTTTATAAGTCAATCTCAGTGTCTAGAAGAGTGAACACTTTTCTATATTTCCCTGCTCTGCAGAGAGGCTTTAGGCTCAGAAGCCTAAAGGAGGTACAGGGCTTCTTGGTTAATGTAAGTCACACTTGCACCAAGTTTTCTGATTTATAAAAGGACTTCACAAACAGTCAGGTAACAGCCAAGCAAATTAAAGACCAAAAAAAAAATAAGCCAAGTAGTCCATAAAGAATTTGAGTATTGAAGTTTTAGGGCTAAAGCAAATATTTTTTTAATTTATTGTCATATAACTTATTTTAAATCTGCTTGACTTTGATACCATGTCTCAACTTGGCTTTAAACAGGTGAACCTAGAAAAATACTAAAGGGGAAGAGTAATTGCTGAGCAGCTTCACGAAGACAGCACAAGTGAGAAACAAATTAAATTCCAGAAGATTCCATGGTCAAGTCTAGAGAATTTTGGAAGGCTCAATTAGTGTTAACAAGGCAGAAATGACGGGATAATGAAGGCAATGGAGGATTCTGGGGCATTATTAAAGGGAGAACCCTTAAGTTTTGAAAGCCAGAAGTCAGCTCATGAGACTTCAAAACAGGAATTCATAAACAGGTGCTGTTTTGGAGTAGACAAGAACAGCATGCTGATGATTTACCAAAGCACGGCGTCATTTCACAAAAAGGACCAGACGATTGGGTTGAACTATGTGGGCTATCATTAGAAAACCTTACTTCTTATGACTAACTCACAGAGCACTGAGCCATGACTTCCAGGTTCACCCTGTGGAGCATTTTCCATCCAAGATTCTCAACCTGCTTCCTAGCAGACATGTGTTCTCCTACAGTCTCCACTGGGGTTAATACCCCTCACCCATCACTTACTGTTCTCCAACCCACAGGGCAGTTTTGAAGGCATAAATAATGAGGATGACTATTTGGTGTGAAGCTTCTGGCCTGGAGGCAATTTGAGCTCAGCTAGCATAGCCTTTATTCAGTTTGATACCAAAAGGAAAGGGATACAAAATATGTGCTAAAATCTGGCTAGGGCCAAGGTACGGGAAAAGTGAGAAGCAAGATGCTGAGTGTGATTATCTATCTTCATTGTTAACTTGACTGGATTTTAAATCACCTAGGAGACACATTACGGGCATGTCTGTGAAGGTGAATCCAGAAAGAAGACTCAGCCTGAATGTGGGCAGCACCATCCCGAGGCCTGAGGTCCAGAAATGAATTAAAAGGAAAAAAAGTGGAAGCCAGCAGAACATCAGCACTGATCTCTGCTTCCTGTCTTCAGACACAGTGTGACCAGCTGACTCACATTTCTGCCAGCATGGCTTCTCTACCACAATGTATCAGCTCAAAGCCTGAACCCAAACAAACCCTTTACCCCTTAAGTGGCTTTTCTCAGGTTTCTGATAACAGCCCTGGGGAAAGTAACTGATACATTGAGCAGTATAGACAATACATCAACTGCGCCATCATTTATTGTGCGGGCTAGTTTTATGTCAGCTCAACACAAAATAGTCATTTGGGAAAAGGCAACCTGGACTTATAAAATATTGCCACCAGACTGACCTGTAGGGCAAGTCTGTGGGGTATTTTCTTGATTGATAATTGATGTCAGAGGCCCAGCTCACCATGGGTGGTGCTACCCCGGGGCTGGTGGTCCTGGGTGCTAGAATAAAGCAGGCTGAGCAAGCCAGTAAGCAGCATTCCTCCATGGCCTCTGCTTCAGCTTTTGCCTCCAGGTCCCTGCCCTGTGCTCCGGCCCTGACTTCCCTCAGTGATGGAGTGGAAACAAATGAGTTGTGAGTTGAAATAAACCCCCATCCACTCACCCCAGGTTGCTTTTTGTCATAGTGCCTTTCACAGCAATAGAAATTCTAATTAAATAGTTTGTCCTATGAAGATAGAATTGCTATTTATTTACCTGACTAAAAATTTTTACTGTAAAGAGTGAAAAACTAAATGTGCACTAATGGAGTTTTATGGACAGGAAGTCTCCCTACGTCTTCAGATGTTGCTTAAGGCATTCTTACTGTACTCTTTATTTTCATGAAGATACATGGAATCACCAACTCAAATTCTGTAACATTACATACTTAGTATGAAATCTGTAGGACTGACTCAGAGTCTAGAACCTCAGCAAATTAGATGCAAACACAAATGGCCCATGTTAGAACTTTTTCAGAAATCTAGACACAGAGTTTTAGAGTTTTAAAGATCATTCACTTCATCAGTCCCTGTGGTAAATGTTTACTAACACAAGGCACATTAGGAGGCCAAGACCTCAGGAATCTGACCAAAGCATGAAAGCCTCATGTTGACAAACAAATAGTAAGAAGAGTATGCCCCAAACTCTGGAACCATCCACCAGGAGAAAGATGTGCGGGCTAAGGGCAACTGTTCTAGAAGGCCTTGTAGATCCAAAGAGTGGGAACAAAACACTTCAGTGCTACCTCATCAAGAGAACACTCTCATATCTGCCTATTAATGAGTCTAATTCCAGTTACTTTTAGAACATAAAAGATAATTACCTCAGCCAGATTATAACAACTAACAGTAGATGGTGTGTATTGGCAATATCCCCACTTCTGCAGTTAGTAAGGGCTCCAGAGTATCTTCAGCTCACTGACAAGTGAGCACCATCTCTGGCAGGTATCATACCAGTCACTGTGCTACAATTTTTTTCCCCACATGGCTTCTCTGATGTTGAACAAGGTATGAAGTTCGGGTAAAGCCTTTTCCACATGCATCACACTGGTAGGGTTTCTCACCAGTGTGGATTTTTTTATGTTCAATAAGGCTTCTATTCTGAGTGAAGCTTCTCTCACACTCATTGCATTGATGAGTTACGGGAGTTTTAGTATCATCCCATTGGCTTTCCACCCTACTCTGACCTTCCCGGGCCTCTCCATGCAGAGGCTTGTGGGCAGTTTTACCACCATGGATCCTCTGATGTCTCAGGAGATGGGAGCTACGCCTAAAGGCTTTGCCACACAACTTGCACCGGTATGGCTTCTCTCCAGTGTGAATTTTGTGATGTTCAAGGAGACTGCAGCTCTGGGTGAAGGTTTTCCCACAGTCATCACACTCGTAGGGCTTTTCCCCAGTGTGGGTTCTCTGGTGCTTGATGAGGTTCGAGCTGTGACTAAAGACCTTGCCACATTCTTCACACTCATATGGCTTCTCGCCAGTGTGAACTCGCTGATGAATGACAAGCGCAGAGCTCCCAATGAAGGTCTTCCCACAGTCTTCGCATTCGTAGGGCTTCTCTCCAGTGTGGATTCTCTTGTGTTTGGTCAGGCCTGAACTTTGAGCAAAACTCTTTCCACATTCATGGCAATAGTGTCGCCTACTCCTTGTGGCATTCTTCTGTGTTGTCTGTGACTTGCCTTCCTGCTCACTGGCTTCTGCACCTGCAGGAACCTGAGCAGTGTTTTCAGTCAGGAAGCACACTGGCTGCTCAGGCTTTTGTTCTGTGTATTCCTCAGCTGGAGACAAGTCCCTGGTTTCGGTCTCCATTTCCAGGCCTGAAACACAATTGTCAGCAAGTGTTAACTATGCTTTGCATGGGAGAAAGCTCTGAGAAAAGCAGCTGGGAGGCAAAAGTTACAGAGCTCTCTGAATGCCAAGGGCACATATTTAAATTAAATCTTTAATAGTTCGTTTATTTTAATAAATAAATTAATATGTTATTAATTATTAACTGTATATTTTAATATAATTTAAATTATGTTATTTTAACATTTTAATATTTAAATTTAATATTTCAATGCAGAAATAAGAGTGAGAATAGAGGGAAGAACAGGAGTGCTGGTGAGGACAAAAACCTGATGGGAATTGGGATTAAATGGAAAAACAGAAAGTGGGGAGATGTGATAAGGACCAAGGCCATGAAACCCAGTGGCCAACCAATCAGCACAAAAATTCCTGACAATCATTTAATAAAACATGAGAAGTGTCATTTTTTTGTACTTTATAAATCCTTTCTAGTGTCTAGAATAGTAGGTTCTAAAAATATTTTTCTGTATTCCCGTCTTCTCTAGACAGGCTTTAGGTCAGAAGCCTAGAGAAAGGAGGCACTGTGATGTGGTGGAGGGGTGAGAGCATGGGCTCTACCAATAATAAGGCTGAGACAGGCATCTAAGATTAGATACCAAAGGCTGCACAAAAGCAACAGAAACGGCAAGTAAAAGATTCTGAAACATGTTCTAAGAGACTAAGAAGGCAGAGACTCCCACAGATCAGTCATGGGTGGCTGGTATGCATTGTCACCTCTGTTCCCAACAATCCCTGACGAGGGGGTTCTAAGTTGGAGGCACCATCAAAGAACTCTGTGACTTGACGCTCTCACCTCCAAGGCCAGGGACTTAGGTCCAGCACCTAAGGTCACCTCTAGACTCCCAGAATGTGACTTTGTGGCCCACTTCCTGAAGTATCCTGTTAGGAGGACTTGCTGGTCAGAGGTTGTAGTTTACCATTGTAACACGAATTTTTTTTTTTTTTTTAATTTTCTGGAGCTGAGGACCAAACCCAGGGCCTGTGCTTGCTAGGCAAGCGCTCTACCACTGAGTTAAATCCCCAACCCCGTAACATGAATCTTAAAAGGTCTTAATAAATAAAAAACCTGAAGCCAGATATTGGGGTTAAAACCTGAGAGATCAGAATGTGAGACCAAAATGAGCCATCTTAGAAATAAGACCAAAATGCTTTCACCCTAAAATTAAGGCCTAAGATTTCTCCTTTTGGGAATAGGCCATTAGTTACTGAAACCAGTCAGTTCAGATTCCAGAAACCAGGAAGTGTAAAAGTACAGAGTCACAAGGTAGTCACGAGGTAATGACTGCCGGACTATGGAATGTCCTCTCCCAGGTTTCCAGAGTAACTGACCACAGAAATGTCCCCACCTGAGGGCAGCCAATGAGAAATGGTGGCGGGTAACCACTCCCTTAGAAGTAAGATTAAGCCATGATTTCTAGAAAGCCCCTAGAAGCGAGCCAATCAGAATTGTACCCATACTAGCACCCCTAAATGATGTAACCTTGTGGCTTTTGCCTTTAAAAACAGAGCTTGCAGACAGGCGGGCACTTCCTCCAGCCTCCACTGCGTTGGATGTATTGGACGAAGTCCCTGCCTAGGCTTGTATTGGATATCCAGAATTAAACCTTGCTTTTGCATTCCGGCATGTTCATCTTTGGTGGTCTCTCTGGGGGTCATGATCTGGGCACAACAAGAGGAATAGAAAAAGCCACAGCTAACCTCACCTCACTGCCTCTGTAGCTTCCAAAGAGATCTACTTCCTTATACCCACGCCTATATGCCTTTCTGTTCTGCCATCTCATTTCCTCTCTCCGCCCAGCTACATCACCTCCTCTTCCTGCCCAGCTCCATCACCTCCTGTCTGTCTGTACAGACCTCCAGACCTTTATGGTTAACTAGTTTTGGAATTTAAGGCCTGTGCCACCACTCCTGGCTCTGTTCCCAGTGTGGCCTTGAACTCACAGAGATCCAGAGAGATCCCTTCCTCCCAAATGATAGGATTAAAGGCGTGTGCTACCATTACCTGACTTCTGTGTTTAATATATTGGCTAGCTTTTTCCTCTAATCCTCAGATAAACTTTATTGGGGACACAGTTAAAATATCACCACATACCATGGCCTGGCAGCTCTCTCCAAGCTTGATAACATGGAGGACTCCTTCCCCAGCAAGACTTCCTGCTCTCTACCTGCCTTTTTAGAGATCTCCAGGCCCAGAGGCCTCACCTTGTCTGAAAGCTGTCCCTAAGCCTGGATGCCTGATTTATCTTTAGTGTGAGCCTTGGCATAGTTCCCTTCTAGAGCTCTCCCCCGCTGCTCATACGGTGAATAGCCTTTGTGCTAGGAGCTTTACTATAGGACCATTCTTCACATATGATAACTATGACATGTACTAGGAGCTTATGATAGAAGTGTGCTATTCAATGCAAATTAGGTGATGCCCCAGGCACTGTTCCCAGTCTTTTTATCTCCCTCTCTTTCTGGCATAAAGGGAGCTGTAACACTTAAACTGTCTCCCCAAAGTGCTACCTCCATAGACCCACTGCTGTCCAACCCTACGCACTTGCTTCTGCTCCCTCCCCCTGGTGGACCCCTAGTAGAGAACGAAGCAAGGATCAGAGGGTTTAAAGAGTTAGTTACACAGCTGGGCACTAACAGGACTCAGAAATGGTAATTCTGAAACCAAACACAGCAAACTGCTCCTAAGAATCAAATAGCTCTTGTTTGCTTATTTTCTGTTTCTGTTTGGTTTTGGTTTGGTTTTGGTGTTTCGAGACAGGGTTTCTCTGTGTAACCCTGACTGTCTTGAAACTTGTTCTGTAGATCAAGCTAGCCTGAAACTTACAGAGATCTGCCTGCCACTGCCCCCCAAGTGCTGGGATTAAAGGCCTGAACCACCACCACCTGGCTCAAATAATACAGAGAAGAAAAGACTTTGGGAGCAGATAGTGCCTGTCAGTTCTTCTCCAAGGAACTAGGATACCAGAGCTCTCCTGCCTCTCATCTCTATAGAGAGTCATCTGAGATTAATCCTGCTCTGTCCACCCACGTGAGAAGGTCAGCAACTCTTAAAAAAATAACTGATCCCACTTGTACCTCCTTCTCACACTCCCAAACCAGGGCACATGAAACAGTACATACAAACTGTTTAAAGGGGCTCTTGAAAAGGGGACAAGTCTTTTAAGGCATATCTCCACTTACTTAACTCTGTATACAAAACTCTTAACCAAGCACAATGGTGCATGCCTGTATTCCGAGCACTTGGGAGACAATGAAGATCTCAGTTCAAGTCAAGCCTGGGCTATACTGAGAGACCGTGTCTCAAAAAGAAACAGTCAACGGTGAAAAATACTGCATGAGTTAAGGTAAGTGCTTTCACATGGCTATATAAACAGTCGGAACTACTACATGCATGAGAGTAAGTGCTTTCCTATGAATCTATAACTGGTGCAGGAGGTAAGCAGGCTTAGAAAACAAGGTTCTGTGAAACCATTTCCAAGCTTCCAAAGAGGTGTGGTTTGATCTGGCAAACTGAAGGTGAGGGCGCACTTTATTAATTTTTTTTAATAAAATAAAATCTGGGTCTGGGGTGAGAAAAAAAATCAAGAAAAAAAGTAGTGAGTAGTATTACCACCCCAAACACTGATAACTTCAAGCAGGATGTGAAAAACTGAATGAATGTGAAATTCTAGGTTATATAATCACCACTTTAGTAGCCCAAAAGGACGTGCTGTATCTGTCCCCTCGAACTATAAGTCTTTGAGGGTAGAATCCCAGTCTTTATGTCCCTCGCTGAGAGTATACCTTATTATACTTTAAAACAACAAAATAAGGCTTCTGCAATGGCTGAGCGGCAGAGAGCTGGCCTAGAACATATGAAGCCCTCAGCTGGAACCCGAACATTACCAAAAACAAACAAAACAAAACACCTAAACTACCATTATCACACACACACACACACACACACACACACACACACACACACACACACATCCTTTAATTTGCATTTCCTGAATTGTCCTTGTTAAAAAAGAAACCCACCAATGAGGGGACTGACCAAAGCAATAAATGGGCTAGAAGAGATCTGAGAACACAGAGAATCCTCTAGGGCAGCCATAGAACAGAAAAGTCCCCTTAAGTGAGCCCAAAATGAAAACTGCTGCTGCTGTGTAAACTTAGGATGAAGATGGAGAACTGTAGAGAAAGGACCATCTTAGTCACTGTTCTATTGCTATGAAGAGACACTACTACCAAAGCAACTCCTGTAAAAGAGAGCATTTCACTGGGGTTTGTGTACAGTTTCAGAGGCTAGTCCATTTTCATTGTGGTGGGGAGCGTGGCGGCAGGTAGGTGTGCTGCTGGAGAACCTGATCTGTAGGCAAACAGAGGCTCTGGGTCTGACGTGGGCTTTTGAAACCTCAAAGCCCATCTCCAGTGACATACTTCCTCCAATAAGGCCACACCTCCTAATCATTTTCAAACAGTGCTACTCCTTGACGACTAAGCATTCAAATACATAAACCTATGGGAGCCCTTCTTATTCAAACCACCACAAGGACCTAATGGGAGGACCCACAGTAAGGAAGATCCTGAATGCTGGAGATGGGAAGAAGCTCATCTGGGGTGGTGGAGTGGGCCTGGCAGCTATCATAGACTCTTCCCTGCTCCTGCACCCCTGAACTAGCCAAGGGACCTGGATCACTAAGACAGAAGAAAGCTCTGGATAAGACCACTCTGGAATCCAGCCTCCATGCCTTACAAGGTTTAATAGGTTTCATTTACATCAGTTCTACTATTTCTAGGTGTGGTGGACTGAATGAGAACAGCTTCCATACATTCAAATGGTTTGAATTACTTGATCCCCAATTGGTGGAACTGTCTGGGAAGGATGAGGAAGATTGGCTTTGTTGGAGGAAGTGTGTCACTGGCGTGGACTTTAAGGTTTCAAAAGTCTATACCATCCCCAAGTAGCTCTCTCTGCCTCATGTTTATGGATCAAAATGTAAGCTCTCAGCTACAACTCAAGTGCCATGCCTGCTGCCATACCCCCTCCCCACCCACCGTGATGGTCATGAACTCTAACCCTCTGAAACTGTAAACAAGACCCCAATAAACTCTTTCTTCTCTAAGTTGCCATGGTGTCTTATCACAGCAATAGGAAAGTAACTAAGACACTGGGATGCTCTGACTTTACAAAATGTACCTTATTTTCTTTGTAGCACTCTTGAACATTCAAAATTGCACTATTGATTTTTCTGCTATCACTAGAATTTAAGATCTATCAGAGCAAAAATTCAGTTTTACTAATGGCACTATTCCCGGTGTCAAACACCAATGGCTATGGTAGACAGGGCTCCAAAGATATACCTACATACACCAACACACACACACATATACAAATACACACACACACACACACACACACACACACACACACACACACACACACTAAACAAACTGAGATCAGTATATTGCTAAAACTAGATTAATTCTTTCCAGATATCAATTTTAATTACATCTTAGCATTCACAAGATTGGTTAGGGAAAGTTTTCTGTTATTGTTGTTTATTTCCCTTTGAGTTTCAGTCTTAGAATTAATTGGTGGGTGGACATAGAAAGTAACTGTCAAATAGACCCATCTTTTAGGTGACCATTAAATGAAACTAAATGAAGTCTTTATTATAATTTGCACAGTGCAGGACTGGGAATGTGGTACCTCAATGGTAGCATGCTCACTTAGTACATGCAAGGCCCTGAGTTGGATCCCTCCCATCACACACACACACACACACACACACACACACACACACACACACACTCACAAACATTCTCTCACCTCTTGCTTGTAAGGACGAACACTCCAAAGATTCCTGAGACTCATGCTTGAGCAGGCACTTCATCGCCTGGGAGTGGCTACTTTGTGAGTTCTGGGATGGCGTCAACAATGCCACCTTGCAGCAGAGAAGTTCTCGACTCCATTCACGAGCTGGAACCTAAAAGTCATTCATTTACTTTTATTTATTCAATCAAACTTTCCCATCACACTTTTTTGTGAGGACTTTCTATTATCAGGCACTGATTCTAAGAGCTTCAAGCATGTTAATTCACTGAAATACAGACAGCCCTGTGAAACAATGGGAACATAGTGTGAAGGTCCTTGCACCCACAGATCTCCAGAGAAACCAGAAATGTTAAGCATACAGGATTGTCTTTCCAATGGGAATGATGAAAAGCCTTTTCTTCTAACCAGAAAGCTGAGAATTAGAAATTATTAACTGCCTGGTGATCTGTGTTATCTATTGGGGCAGGCCTTATCAAGCTCTTACAACCAAGACCGGAGGTGGCTAGTAATGTAAATGACCCTTACAACCAGAGGCTCCCCCAAGCTCCCACAATGACTAATATCCCAAATGACCTCTATGCTGTCTGTAAGACTGAAACCAGGCCAGACCCTTAGGCCCTTAAGCTAGTACAGGTAGCCTATGTCTAGAACCCATCTTCTTGGAAGAAATGACATGTACCCTGAGTTGCATTTCAGTGTATAACGAGGATTTTATTATGCCAGGAAACTTTTCTCAATAAACAGCCTGGTTTTAGACTCCCTAAAGTCTGATCCAGGTTGACTAAATCAATCTGCACCCGATTTTCATTCTTATCTCTTTGTGGGGTACACTTCCCTGTATGATACCTGCAGGGACCCCCCCCCCTCAGTAAATTATGGAATTGTTTGGAATTTTGTAGCTGAAACTGAGGCCTAGTTTAAGCAGCTTGTCCATGTCATCCAGCTCCTAAGTAGCAATGCTGTACTGGGAGCTCAGGCAGATCAGCTGCAGAGCCTCTGGATTACCCATGACTTTGTTTCCTTGCTCTGCCTCTCTACCCTTAGGAAGCCGATGGGAAAATCTACAAAAGCATCAACATCTTATCTGAAAGATAAACATAGTAATTTCTACACAACAGGGTTTTTAAGAAATTAACAAATTTGACTGCAGTTTGTGAAACCAACTAACACAGAACATAATAGGTAGTGCAACTTCATTAAAGCTTAGTTTCCGTGCAGACGTTGATAGCAAAACGATGCTCAGAATTTCCTACATCTTTTACAGAGAACGAAGTTCTAAGACTTGAACTGACTTTCTACTGTTACAGGGCTCAGAACAGCAAGTCCAAGTCCAGAACCTTGGCCTTCTGGTCACCAGTTAGAAGGTTCTAACCACGTGTCCTCTGACACAAGGACACTGGAGGCTGCAGAGAAGAGATCTCCTAAAACAGGTCAAAATGCATGTGTAGATTAGTGCTGCCCTCAACCTTAGCAAGGGACGCTTTTCTATGCAGCGGGCAGCAGTTAATGTGGAGACTCCTAACTGGTCAAAGACGTGAGAATAAATGACTGCTGAGTGCTCATCCTTAAATAGGACATCTACATCAACCCCTAGTCCCCAGGGCTCAGGGAACCTCAAGGAAGGTAGGGCAGGAAGAACAAAGGACCTGGGATGGAGAAGAGTACTGCAAAATGGTACTTCCTGGAAAAGACATAGTTACTGGCTCAGGAACTGAGTGCAGCTCTGGTTACCTGGACAAGATCAAACAACATGATCAGTCAACATGCCAGCTAGTGGCACTAACTGGACTTAGTAGGTTATAAAGACGACGGGTTGTATGAAGGGGGAAAGTGGACACGTGGTGGCTGGGGGAAACTGGAGGGCGGAGGGGTTGGTGGCAGATATGATGGAGACATGTTGATGTGCATAAAATTGAAAAAAAAAGGTATTTTTAAGGCCAGAAGGTAGAGGTTAAAGCCAGCCCATTTTCTACCAGGGGTCCATGAATTTGGATAGGAAAAACCTTTCCAGATGCTAAGAAAACTGTGGACTTTCCCTCCACGGTCAACGAGAACAACAAAGCAAGGTGGCAGAAGCTCCGCAGCACTGAAGATGCTGTCACGTTGACAAGCCAAGAAAACTCCTACAAAGTCGTCTGTGCCTAGCATCGCTTGCTCCGCCCTGTCCTTGGGTCTTACTCAGCACAGGAGCTAAGAAGTGCATAGCTAACCTGTCACCACTCTGCTCAACACATTCTACCCGAGCTTCACTGGGACTGCGTTCTTCCCAATCCTTTCCTTTGTGCTCTTAACTATTCTGAGGGGTCCGGGTCACTTCGCTGGTTGCCTCAGGTTCCCAGTTCAGACCGAGACTTCTCGGGCTCTAAGCAATGCCTCCCTCAGATCTTGCTTGAGGTTTCTAGAAGGCACAGAGCATAGGGCTCTGACCCTAAACCTGTTCCTTCTACCTGTGGAGGTGTCTCGTCCAGCTGCCTCTCCAAGTACTCCAGCAGCGCCACCACCTCCTCCCCGCTGTCGGGGTGCTGCTCGCGCACCCAGGCCTGCAGCTCCCCTGGCAGGATGGTCAGGAACTGCTCCAGCACCAGCAGCTCCAGGATCTGCTCCTTGCTGTGCATATCTGGCCGCAGCCACTGTCTGCAGAGCTCCCGGAGCCGGCTCAGCGCCTGCCGGGGCCCAGCGGCCTCGGGGTAGCGGAAAGCGCGGAAGCGCTGGCGGGAGCGGTCGGGCCCAGGGCTGCCCAGCCAACTGGCCTCCTCTGCCAAGGGGGAGGCCTCTTCCTGTTCCACCTTCACCACCAGAAGCCCATTCCCCTCTTGGGTAGATCGAGCGTTTAGGGCTGCGCTCCCTCCTGGCTCTCTAGCCATTCTGTGCTAAGCCTAGGCTCACGCTAGCTGCAAGCTGTGGATCCTCAGAGGATTCTCGGAAGATGGGAACTCAGTATGGACCTGTCTCCTCCCCCTGTTCCCCGGGACAACCAGAGGCACAGCTGCACAGGTTTCTCCAAAAATCCTTGCCTTTGCGGAGTCCTCCTCTGCACCCCACCCTAACCCCACAATAAATATTCTCAACGAATGCCCCGGGGCAAATAAACTACATCCAGACACTGGCTGGAGCACAGGAAACATGGGAACCCAAGCCACTTCCTGGGCCATCTAGGATGCTCTTCTCAGTGGTTCTATCCGAATTAACTCATTAGTGACTCTATCAGTACCTCCGCTTAAGGGAGGATTGTTGAGGAAAGGATTATAGCCCCTGAGTCCTACAGGAGTGGAGGTTTAAGCCCAGGATGTAGTGGTATTTGTACAGTAAGTTACCAGGAATCTTTGATTCTTTCCAATCTAAAGCTTGCCTTCATAGTTGTCACAATGCTGACACGAAAATTCGGTTGGGAAGTACATTGGCTGAATGCAAAGGTGGAACGTGGTAGGAAATTTGGTACCTCTTAGAAACCACGAAAAAGGCAGGGCACTCACTTGTCTGGAGAGTATGCCTACCCCTGGTCCTGCCCTCTTCCTGCTGCTCTCTTTTCTTCCTCTCCAGGTCAAACTACCCGAGAGAAAATCATCCATTTAGAAATCCCTCCCCCACCTCCTGCCACTTCATGACACATTGTAAGCAGTAAAGCACCAGTGCAGCCGCTGCTGTGGCATCTGCCCAAATAACTAGAGTCCTGACTCTTCTGAGCTCTTCAGCAACAAAGCTTGCACATGACAAGCATCCAAGTTGCCTCTGTGCACTTCCAGAAACTCTCTAGTCTCCAGCCTCGGGACATCCCGTTCCTACTTCGTTCCTTCCTGTTTCTCTGCAGCCCTGACCTACGGACAGGCGCAAGTGTAAGATGCAGAGACTCCCAAATCTGAGAAAGGCAGACTGTCGTCAGTTAAAAGAAACTCAATAGACGGATCAGCCAGGTGCAATGATAAACTTTATTTCGACCCTGATTAGAATAAAATAACTGCTGTGATGGGGGCAAGATAGTGCATGAGTTCCTCCATCTTAAATTCCTGCTGAGGCTGTTTCCAGGTGTAAGGAGAATCTGATCTCCTTGGGGTATCCCAGGGAAAACTACCCACCTCTGTTCTAGGAATCAAAGGTCAGGATGTCCTATCTAACTTACCTAACCTTTGTTGGAATTGCTTGTTTGTGCAGAATCTTCTACAGATAACCTTTGTCTTAGCTGTTTGTTTGTGAAGAATCCCCCTCAGGTGACCAACCACTTATCTTAGTTTCTGTTAAACTGCTTACTCTGCAAAGTCCCCACTGCAGCTGCCCAAGGAGATGCCGAAATGAAGTCTCTGCCCTTAAAAACCTCATGTTCTGGACACTACGGACCATACCTAGGTCCCAAGAACACTTGGGTATGGTCCCAGCCAGCTGAATAAAGACTTCAATTGGCTATAGGCTCTGTCTGAGTGGTCATCTCTGGTAAGTTTCCCATAATACTGTAAAAATAAACAACAACAACAACAAAAAGCTACAGCCGAGACAATGGGGAAAACTAGAACTCAGTAATAGAAAGCAATTATTGGCAATTTAACTGTTAGAATGATACTATCATTTTTTTTTTTTTTGAGTCAGGGTTTCTCTGTGTAGCTTTGCGCCTTTCCTGGAACTTACTCTTTAGCCCAGGTTGGCCTCGAACTCACAGAGATCCGCCTGCCTCTGCCTCCCAAGTGCTGGGATTAAAGGTGTGCGCCACCACCGCTGGCAGATACTATCATTTTTATAAGATTTGCTTTTATTTATTTGTGTCTGTATGTATGCTGATGCTTGTACAAACCAGAAGAGGATGCCAGGTCCCCTGGAGCTAGAGTGACAGGCAGTTGTGACTCAAACTCAGGTCCTGTCCTAGTTAGGGTTTTTAGTACTGTGATAAACAACATGACCAAAAACAACTTGGGGAGAAAAGGGGGTTATTTGCCTTACAAGTTCCAATCACAGTCCATTGTAAAGTCAGGGCAGGAACTCAAGCCAAGAACCCCAAGTTGAGAACTGGAGCAGAATCCTTGGAGGAATGCTGCTGAACCCTTGGAGGAATGATGTTCACTGGCTTGCTTTCCTGGTGTGTTCAATTTGCTTTCTTATATACCCCAATACTATCTGGCCAGGGATGGCACAGCCCACAATGGGTTTAGCTCATTCACATCAATCATCAGTCAAGAAAATGCCACACAGACTTGCCTACAGGTCAGCATAAGGGCACTTTTTCAGTTGAGGTTCCCTCTTGTTAGATGACTCTAGTTTTGTCAAGTTGGCAAAAACTAACTTCTGTGGATGTCCTTCTGAACGATGTGAATATGTGTTGCTCTCATTGGTTCATCATAAAAGCTGATTTGGCCTCTAACCAGGCAGAAAAAGGATGGGCAGGAAAGCCAAAGGGAGATACAGGAAGAAGGGCAGAGCTGAGAGGGTTGAGAGCCAGATGGAGAATGAGTCAGACATACAAAATGGGATAGAGATAAAGGCTACGAGCCTGGGGTAGTACATGGATTAACAGAAATGGGTTAAGTTGTAAGAGGTAGTTAGTAATAAATCTGAGCTAATAGCCAAGCATTTATAAGTAATATCAGCCTCTAGGAACTGGCGGTCAGGAGAGAACCGTCTGATTACAACCACCCAACATAGGTCCTCTGGAAGGACAGTAAATGATCTTAACTACTGAGACATCTCTCCTGCCTCTCTATAATTTAAAGTCATCCCTTAGAACTTTATATTGAAATACCCGTACAGATGGATGAGCCAATACAATGTCTGAGATTTGTTGAAGCAGATACTTAGCAAAAAAGAAAGAAGGAAAGAAATAACACAAACATGGTAATTGTTGAAGCTGGGTGAGAGGCATTTGGGGATCCACTGTAATGTCTCTATAGACTTACAAAAACAAAGTTTCCATAGTTATTTTCTTTTTAATTAACTCTACCTTCCTTCATTAGTGAATAATTCAGCCCAAAAACTATTACATAGGTCTATAAGAGATGGAAAAGGAGATGGCAGTTCAGTCCAGAGTGACATCCCATTCTGGCTTAACCAGTTGTCATATTAATCTTGTCAATTTGAGTGGATTCAGTGTGGGGGCCCACATATGACTCAGTTGGAATCTGGAGTCCATTCTGACTTATAAGTCAAAAGAGTTCAAGCTTGATTGCTCCATTCTCCTTGAGAGCTGTGAGAATGTCCTGATTAGCCCATGGGAAAGAGCAAATTATCTAGCTAATGTGCAACCCTAGGCAGGCTGCTGGTGCTAGCAGGAGGCACATGATGAGATAAGGAAACTGCCTGTTTCTTGACTCCAAGGACAGAATAGGGATATGGTTTTTTTCTTAAGATAGAGTCTGACTGTGCTGTGCATTGTTCTACTTCAGCCTTTCAGTTTGTATAAAAGCAGGCTGTGAAATAAACTTGAGACTGTTCAGCTTTGACTGGCAGTCCTCCCAACTCTGTTCGGAATCCTTGTTTCTTCTTTAATCCACACGCCTCTACCCAGCAACTCAGTTGACTCGTGGGAAGGCTCTGACAATTCAGAAAAACCTAGGAGATTAACAAAACACACGCCTTCTAGACTGTGGTCACAAAGGCTGTAACCCCACAAGCAGTGTAGTGTCTTCATGGATTCATTATAAGATGATATAATTTGGGTGGAGGTAAAAAATCAGAGGCAAAGCCCAACTGGAGAAAGTAGGTCTTGGCGGTTTTGCCCTCAGGGGCCATATCTTTCTCTGGCTCTCTCCTGTATTCCTTTTCTTTGCTTCCTAGTTAGCTGACATGTGAAGAGCCCCAGCCTCATACGACTGCCATCATTCCTTCCCTGCCATGATGGACTGAAATCCACCTAAACCCATGAGACAAAATAAATCTTTCTTCCCAAGCTGTTTCTGTTGGGGATATTGTCACAGTGTGACAAAATTAACTAATATACCAGTGCTATTAGTTAGTTTCTCATAGCTATGATAAATACCTGACAATAAGAAGCAACTTAAGGAAAATGTATTTGGGCTCTCAGTTTAAGGGGACCGTCCATTCTGGCAGGAACATGACAGCAGAGACCGCATGAAGCTACTTGGTCATGTCTCTATCTTGGCATATCAGGAAGCAGGGAGAGATGAATTCTGATGTCCATCTGCCTTTATTCTATTTCTCATTTTATTTGGTCTAGGATTCCAGCCTATAGAATAGAGCCACCCACAATCACTGTGGTTCTTTTTCCCTCAGCCAGTCCTTTTGGGAAAAGCCAGTACAACAGACACATCCAAAGGTATCCTGTATCGGGGCTAGGGGGGTCCAGCCCCTCGATAGTCCCCTCCCAGGGCCCAGGAAGAATGTATAACTAGCTGATAAGTAATCTCTGATGAAAAGAAATGAGTCTATGTACACGAAACTCCTTAGTCCATATACTTTATTATTCTATGTCGGTTCTCTCTCTACAAGCTTATACTCTGCTCTCATTTTTAGCTCCTTTCTTGCCCAATTTCTCTTTACATTTATCTGTTGTCCCCTCTAGGCTCTATCTTAATTCCTTCATCTAGTTCTGCCCCTTCTAGGTTCTCATCCATCTAGTTCTTTCCCATATCAGCTCCTCTCCCATCTCCTTCTCTCTCATCTTGTTCTTCCCCATCTGGCTCTTCCTCATCTTTCATCTTGTTCCTCTAGTACTCTCTTCTAGCCCTTCAATCTAGTTCTTCCCCATCTCAGTTTCTTCCTCTCAATTTATTACTCATCTAGTTCTTCCATTCTCTTTTTTCTTCTCCGTCCCCTCATGCCCTGGAAGTCCTGGTATATATACATTTACAAGCAGTAATTCCTTGGCAGTGAAAAGCCAGGCTTCCAGGGTCAAACGGATGGGTGAGAAGAATCACATAGAGGGGCAATAACCGTTAATTATCATTTGCAACCCCAAAGGGAAGTGACCAATGGGGAAATGAATTAACTAAAGGCTAAATTCGGGTAATATCTAAGAAGAGGGATCTTATATGCTCCACTATAGTCTTAAACGTGATTGGTAAAAAAAAAAAAAAAAGTTAAGAATCTATAAGTTGCTAGGTCAATGGGAGAAAATAAAACTGCCTTCTTTTTTCCTGTGGCTCCTATCTGTCCAAGCTATCTGCCGTTTTCTGCAGGGTGGGGGA